TTGCTGAGTTTTTTCAATGGTGTCCTTTATCTTGGCTAACTCAGCATCCAAGTTGAAACCCTCTTGGCTAGCCTCCACAAGGGTATCATGGCGTGTGTTTAAAATAGCCCAACTCACTTCAATAGTAGTCTTGTCCTCAAGAATCTCATAATCTCTCTCCCATTGATCAATCTCATTTTTGAGCTTTTCATTCTCAGCCAAGGCAGTATCATAAGAAGATTGCAGATGAACAAGTGAACTTTCTAAAAAAAACTGACCTTATCAGAAAACTCATGGAGATCTTCTTAGGTCTGAGTAAGTATTTGCACAAGTTCACCGGCGTAAACCTCTTTCTCGCTTAGCAAAGCCTTCAACTCTCTAATCTTTTCACTGGCTTTGGAGAGTTGCTCAGAAAATGATGTCTCGAGGAGATTTTTGTCCTTGTCAACTTGATTTGAGGAAGCCTTCTCAACTGCTAACTCTAAAGTCAAAACCTTCAACTGCTGCTCTAAGGTGCACTTTCTTTCTTCTAACATTTCTATATCAAGTTGAAGGCTTTCATATTGTTCTTTCTAGTTGTCTGCTTCAATTTGATAATCATGCATTAATTGCTCTGTATGAGAAACCCTCTTCATCATCTCTGTGCCAATAAGATTAATCTAAAAAAGAAGAAAAGTGTAAGAACCTTAATAAAATAACAACAACAACAACAACAACGGCCCAGTATAATCCCACAAGTGGGGTCCGGGGAGGGTAATATATACACAGACCTTACCACTACCCCGAGGGGCAAGAGGCTGTTTTCAGGAGACCCTCGGCTCAAGAAAGAAACAAGAGACGATATATTAATACTATCAATAGACTCATAATAAAATAACATAAAATATAAAATAACATAACATAACATAACATAACATAAAATAACAAAACAACAGCAGTATAAGAAATATAAGAAATACGAAAAAGATGGAAGGTATAATAATATCCACCAGATAAAGCCCTGCATCAGTAGCTGACCAATAGCATCCTAAGACTAACTCCTAACTGGCTAGTCTCACTCTAGTGCGCTGTAGAAATATTCACAACTTCCCCCTAACCTATAACCTTAATGCTCGACCTCCACAATTCCTTATCAAGGGCCATTCCTCAGTAACCCTAAGTCGCGCCATGTCCTGCCTGATCACCACTCCCCAATACTTCTTAGGTCTCTCTCTACCTCTCTTCGTGCCCACCACAGCCAATTGCACACACCTCCTCATCGGTGCATCAGTGCTCCTCCTCTGAATGTGCTCGAACCATCTGAGTCTTGCTTCCTGCATCTTGTCCTCCATGGGGGCCACGCCCACCTTCTCTCGAATATCTTCATTCCTAATCTTATCCATCCTTGTATGCCCGCACATCCACCTCAACATCCTCATCTCTGCTACTTTCATCTTCTGGATGTGTGAGTTCTTAACCGGCCAACACTCAGTCTCATACAACATGGACGGCCTAACCACTGCTCTATAAAACTTACCTTTTAGTAACGGTGGCAATTTCTTGTCACACATGACTCCCGATGCTAAACTTCACTTCATCCACCCCACCCCTATATGGTGTGTGACATCCTCGTCGATCTCCCTGATCCCCTGAATAACTGACCCAAGGTACTTGAAACTNTTGAAGAACCTTAATAAAAGAAGGATGGAATAAAGTGTGAAAAGTAGCAAATACCTTTAAATATGACTACACTATGTCATTCATCCAAGTCAAAGAGCTGTGACTCTTGAGCTTGGATTTCTCAACTGGACCGATCAGAGGTTTCAACCATACGTCAGCCCAACCTGACTTTTTTAAAAGGTTACCATCAGCAGGGACCTCAGTGGTAATCTGCTTCATCGTTCCACTTCCACTCGAGGAACCAACCTTAGTATGAGGAACAGTAGTAGGGGGAACTGTGGAAGAAGTCATAACAGCTTGGGGCAGAGCAGCAACGGTAGCAGTCACAACTGGCAAAGAACGCGTTACAGGGACTGGCATGGTAAAAGAGCCAAGGGGTACTTCATCAGAAACTAAATCCAAATTGTCATTATCAAACCCACGAGAAAAAAGCTGATCATCAGAGTAACGAGCTGCCAAAGGAGTATCATCATCAGAGCTCACTAAGGTGGCTTCAACATGCTCGATTATGGGAACAGAACGGGGAGGAGTTGCTCATCATCTGAAAAGACGTGTTTTCTGGCCCGCAACTTTTAAATCAAGGAACCTCCATCATGTTCTTCCTCTTCTTCAGAATCCTGGGTTGTATCAGTCTTTCTTTTCGTTGAAGAACCCAAGATTATCTCTTGAGCTCTTTCCAAAGAAACTCTAGAAGCTACGACAACATCAGCACTTATACCTCGATGGGAAATCCTGATAAAAAGAAGGATCAAAATAAATTCTAAAGGAAAGGTGAATGAAAATATGAAAAAGAGATGAGAAAAGCATTTACCATGAGTTTTCACCTACCAACCAAACCTATGCGAAAGGTTTTTCCAAAATCTACCTTCTATTGGAGCAACTTTTAATAACCTTTCTACCCAACCACGGAAATTGGGAATCTCGTCAACAGTTCCTATGGTTGCTGGAAAAAAGTAAAAGTTTAACAGTAGCGGGAAAAATGAAGGGAAAAGATAGAGAAAGTTATAAAAGAAAAACTTACGTGCAAAATTCCACTTTTCAGGAAATGGAACATTTTCTTCGCCCACTAAACCAACAGTAGGAGCGGCAACAAACCTGGCATACCATCCACGATCCTTATCATCCTCTGGGCTAATTAACACTCTTTTATTTCTCGCAACTAAAGTGAAAATCCCATGACGGAAAAGCTTAGGGGAGTAGAGATGAATCAAATGGAAAAAAGTAAAAGGCAAATTAGCCAACCTTGTTAAATGCCTTAAATAAGCAACAACTCTCCACACAATGGGGCCAATCTGTTCAAGACAAACGTCAAAAAAATGACAGAATTCAATGATAACATGATCAATGGGGGGATTTAAATGTCAACGTAAAAGGGTATGTATACATAAATGAAAACCCGGTCAAGTAAGATGTAATTCTCTGGTTCGCATTAGGAATTATAATAGGGAAATCAGGTCTCCAACGGCAATTCCTACGAACAACAGATATCAGACCTTCGGTGATTTGAGAAGGAGAAATATCAGCACGATCTAAAGGAGATATAGAAGAAACTTGGTTTCTAATCGATTCTCTATTAGTGTAAAAAGATAGTTCAACAAGGACAATTTCATCTACCAAAGGCTCACGAATGGGTTCATTAGAATCTTTACTTCTAGATGAAGGTCTATGGTAAAGAGAACCCCTAGTTATAGAAGGAGGAGTAGAACTCACTGGAGGTATAGAAGAACCCCGTATAGATGAAGACCCTAAACTACGTAATCTTCCTCCTCTTCTACTTCTAATAGGAGCAAGAGGAAGACTATCAACAATGGGGACTCTTCGAGGGTTAGGATTTGAAGAAGACATAGCAGTACGAGGAAGAAGAAACAAGAGTGAATATTCTAAACTTTTTATGAGAATGAAAAAGACGAAACCTATATTTATACTCAGAAGCAACTGTCAAAGAAAAGGTGTAATGATGGAAACGTCATAATGGAAACTGTCGCTTCGTAATTGGTGAAGCCGCAAAAAAGCCCAAAAAGATGCTGCAAAGTTGCAGAATCAATCAGAAGATGCCACGCATCATGAGCATTAAATGGAAGTGACACATAAAGCATCAGTTCCAGAGAAGGTATAATGGCGGCAAAAATTCCTGCTTTAATAAAATCCACTTTCCAAATATTCTATTGATGAATAAATGGCAAGTGGGGGGACTATCTGTATTGGAAAAAATCAAGTTAATGTATCGAATTAATTATGAGATGACATGTCATGACATGTGGACTGGTAAAGGAATGACAGTTGGTGAGGAATAGTTGAAGAGATACGAGCTTTAGCAGGCACGAGCAAAGATCCAAGAAAACGAGAAGGGATAGGTGCTCGAACCTCTTGATATTCTGAAGACACATCTGAAGAATGAACCTAAATAGCAAAAGGGGTATAGATACGTATTATTGGTAATTAATAGGCATTAATTACAGAAAACGTTATAGAATCTGTATTGAATCGGTTACGATTTCCAATTATAACGTTATATTAAATGAATTAATTGTCCATAATGACTCCATTATGAAAGGAGAAAAACGTATCACTTAGAAATAGCTATAAAAGGTGAGGAATAATCATTTGTATGGACACAAAATACTATTGAAATATACTGATTTGTTTTGCTTTCTATTCAATTATCATTTACATCAATTATTCCTATTTCTACTTGATTATCAGTAACCCGAGTTTTTCTAAAAATAAGCTTTGACCGAAATTCCTATTTTTGGTTAAACAATAACAAGACCAAAGTCACAATACAAAAGCATATAGGAGTGAGATTCTTCACTAAAATCGAATGAATTACGCCTTAAAGTACATATTCCTTTTGCGATAATCGTGTGGATCGCATCCTCACATTACTTGCTTCTTGGAATGTGAAAACTTATAATATGCAAAGTCATCATAGTGGCATAAAATAATGGTTGAATCATACACTAAACCTACTTCACAGCTTGTTCAAGATCTGCATATTATTATTTTAATCACCTATTAAAAAATAATCCAATCAAATAAATTTAACAACTTCAAGCCGGCTGGCTGCTAAAGAAAATCAACTACTCCAGTTTAGTTTATGTATTATTGAATAAGCCATCTTCCTTGCGCGCACATCTTTGTTTATAACAAAAGATATCGAGTACCTTTTTTTTTTCCGTCCATCCGAAAACTTCATATGCACTAAATGGAAACGACGACAAACAAAAAGCAAATGAAATTTGAGAAATGAAGCCAAGAAGGAAAAAATAAATAAAGACAAAACTAAATGATGTTGTGTCGTCAAAAGGAGCCTGGGAGCAATGGTAAAATTGTCTACGTTTGTTTCGAGCCATTGAGGCTTGTATCTTGAGACACGACCCTTTCTCGAATCCTGCCTAAACATGGATGCTTCGTGGCCTTTTTTTAAAAAAAAAAATTATGCTGTGTTGTATTTGAACTGATCGATTCTTTCAACTTTGACTAATTTCTAATTTCAATTTTTTTTAACTTTAAAACTCTTACAAGTTACATCTCACATTTTCCTTTCGTCTAATATCGTCCATAAATACCTGCTTCTTCATTAGTCAGAATCAGACCATTCTTTCATCTTTACTCTTTGAGTTCAAACCAGTAACTAAAAGATCAAGAAATGGATTCCATTAGAATTCATGGACAAGACAAGCCTCATGCAGTTTGCATTCCATATCCTTGTCAAGGTCATATTAACCCTATGTTAAAGTTAGCCAAAATCCTCCATCACAAAGGCTTTCATATCACTTTTGTCAACACTGAATACAACCATAGGCGTCTCCTTAAGTCCCGAGGCCCTGATTCCCTCAACGGTTTTCCATCCTTTCGTTTCGAGACAATTCCCGATGGCCTCCCGCCGTGTGATGCAGATGCAACTCAAGATATTCCTTCTCTATGCGAATCCACAACCACTACTTGTTTAGGTCCTTTCAAAGAGTTGCTCGCCAAGCTCAATACTACTTCTTCATCTAACGTGCCACGCGTTTCGTGCATTGTCTCTGATGGTTGTATGAGCTTCACTCTTGATGCTGCTCAAGATTTGGGCATACCTGAAGTTCTGTTTTGGACCCCTAGTGCTTGTGGTTCGTTGGGTTACATGCATTACCGTGACCTTTCTGAAAAAGGATATTTTCCACTTAAAGGTATAGTCATGCTTTAATTTCTTCCTTTTTCAAACAGCCAAATCAATTTCAGTTTGTTTTTGGCTTTTGTTCTTTTATCTTTTTGGGGAACTGCAGATGCAAGTGACTTGACAAATGGATATTTGGAGACGGCTTTGGATTGGATACCAAGCATGAAAGGTATACGTTTAAGGGATTTACCAAGTTTCTTGAGAAGTACAAATCCAGATGAATATATGTTCAAGTTCCTTGTCCAAGAAACAGATAGAAGCAAATTTGCTTCTGCTATTGTAATCAATACATTTGAGCGATTAGAGAAGGAAGTTCTTGAATCACTTCGGACCCTTCTTCCTCCGATTTATGCAATTGGGCCCTTGCATTTTCTTGTAAAACATATTGAGGACAAGAATTTGGAGTGCTTGGGATCCAATCTTTGGAAAGAGGATGTACAGTGTCTAGACTGGCTAGATTCCAAGAAACCAAATTCTGTTGTTTATGTTAATTTCGGAAGCATAACTGTAATGACTCCGAACCAACTTATTGAATTCGCTTGGGGACTTGCCAATAGCCAAATGGAATTTTTGTGGATTATAAGGCCTGATATTGTATCAGGGGAACAAGCAATTCTTCCACCCGAATTCGTGGGAGAAACTAAAGAAAGAGGGATGTTAGCAAGTTGGTGCCCCCAAGAACAAGTACTTAGCCACCCTGCAATCGGAGGTTTTTTGACTCACAGTGGATGGAATTCGACTCTTGAAAGTATTGGCAGTGGGGTACCAATGATTTGCTGGCCATTCTTCGCCGAACAACAAACTAATTGTTGGTTTAAAGGCACCCAATGGGGAATAGGAATGGAAATTGACAATAATGTGAAGAGGGACGAAGTTGAAAGCCTTGTGAGAGAGTTGATGGCCGGAGAGAAAGGCAAAGAAATGAAGAAAAAGGCAATGGAATGGAAGAAATTGGCCGAGGAAGCTACTCAAAAACCAGAAGGATCATCTTTTGTGGCAATAGATAAATTGATCAACGAAATTCTCCTCAAACACTAAGCTTTAATTTATCAATAAGTGGTTGATTTTTATCTTTTCTTATGTTGAGATCTTGTCAGTGCCTTTAATTATTGTTGCTCTTTTTTCAATTATGTTTTAATTTGGTATTTTAATATGGTCTCATGATAAAAAAAAATTTATCTCTTGCTACCTCGAGGTCTTTTGGTCCCTACAAGGTACTATGCCTTGCAAATTTTCCCCAACGTGACAAAAAAAAATAAAGAGTCCACTAACCGCCTACAAGTCTAATAATTGGCTTTTCCAATTATTTGGTGAGACAACCGAAGTTTGCACGAAACCGATTTATGTACTCAATGTTTTGTTAACTAAGTACACGTGCGATACTTGACAACTCGTTCATGATCTTGCATTATTTGCTCACGTTCTTGCTATGTCAAGTCAGTCTTACTACACTCAAGATCGCTAAGAAAATGGAAGAAAGAACACAAGAGAATTGCTAAAGAAAACTTTGCATTAGAGAGAACTTGAATTGTTTGCTTGGTTGATGAATTACAAATGAATGCCCCATATTTATACTAATCACATAGGGACTAGTATGTAAATAATAATTATTCTACAAGTCCTTTCATATTTACAACTAGGTCCCTTCTCTAGAATATTCTACACATCTAGATTCTTCTAAGGACTTTCCTAACAATTCTATAGGGTTCTAGGGTCTTCCTAAGGAGACCTCTATATTTCTCTAGAATCTTCCTACAAATGCATAAATATCTAGAGCTTTTCTAAGGAAATTCTACATAGTTCTAGGATATTCCACCAAGATCTTTTCCCTAACTTATGTAACCCTTCCATATGGCAAAAATATATGCCAAGTGGCACCTACGTGGCATGATGATGTGGCGGGTCATGACACTCTCCCCTACCCAATTTTGTGCCACCCTCGACACAAAGCATCGACACGTATGTGCGCACCTCGCCTTGGCGTCGCCGGAGATCTTTGTCCATTACCCATGATGCTCTATGAAGTGGTTCGCCTTCCCATTTCACAAGGTACTGGTCATCTCTCTTCTTATGTCGTTTGTACTTTGGACGGCTAGCAATAATGGCCTCGATCCTCCGCCCGTCTGATGCCTCCCCTTTCTCTTGGCCTGAATCTCCCCATGACTCAACCAAGTCCAGAAGCTTCTCAAGCATCGGGTCTATGCTTTCACTCCCTATTTTGGTTGCCCTCCGTTGTCCATCCTTGCTAGGAAACTTGAACCCTCTGCTTGGTGCATCATTTAAGTCTGATAGTGTGCCATCATTTTGTAACTTACCATCCTCTTCAACTATGTCCGCCCAACGTTTCTTGCTACCACCATTTTCTATTCACATGGCACCAAGATAGGCTTCGGAATCCTCTACTTTCGGCTTAGATTCCAAGCGCATCCCTCCAATGCAGGCGGTTTCTCGTGTGTCAGCCTTGTGTCCCTGAGCAAAATTCCCGATCATTGTTGAAAGCTTACCCAACTCTAGGCATTCACTTGCTCGATGTGATCCTTTACAAAAATAGCACCCTCCTTTAGGCATGTACTCGCTATTGTTTTCCGACCCCTTGCCGTTTCTCTTGGACCCTGTCCATTATATGATGGCCCCTTGCCATTACCCTTGTATACATCGGCTATGCCTTTCCCATTGTCCTCGCCATGATCTCCCCCACCCCTCTCGACGTTGCCTTCTTTGGACTTGGTAGACTCCATCTTGAAGTCAACAAGTGACTCGGCTACCGCTATGGCCTCGTCCACACTGGTTACTTGATGTCTTCTTAACTCCTGCTTTGCCCAATTTTGCAACTCATCCATGAAGTGAAAGAGTGAATCTTCCTCGGATAATGACAGGATTTGCATCATTAAGATAGTGAACTCGTGCACATACTCCCGAATTGTGGCCGTCTGTCGGAGCTCCCTTAGCTTCCGCCTAGCCTCATACACCACATTCACCGGATAGAATTGCTTCTTCAACTCCTTCTTGAACTGCTCCCACGTCTCAATGTTGCATAGCCCATTTTCCATGTCAGTACACTTTCGACGCCACCATAGCACAACAATCTCTGAGAGGTACAACATAACAGTGTTGATCTTGGCCTCGTCGTCTCTCACCTTGCCATGCCTGAAGTAGTTCTCCAAGTGCCAAAGGAAGTTCTCTACTTCTTGTGCATTTTGAACATTGGCAGTTTGGGAGTCTCGATCTTGGTCTCTCTCATCACAACAACGTTACTGTTTGCCTTGGTCACGCTAGCGTCAATGTGCTCCTCGAGCGACTCTATCTTTACCTTCATGGCATCGATATTGCTGAATGCCTCCATAAGTCTGCACTCCAAGGTAGTGATGGTTTTCTATAGCTCCATCTCGACCTGCGTACGCCCCTGCAAGTCATTTCGAATGCTCTCAATTTCTTCAAGAGGGTGTACCTCAATAACTCTAAGGATGCCTTCCACCTTCCCCAAGTGTTGGCCAAAGATCTCGACGGCGTCCATCCCCACATTCACCTTCATCACCCACTCTTTACCGGGCGAGACATCCTCCGGCAGGACCTCCACTTCATCCTCGCTCGCCTCGGTGACAGATGGTTCTTGGGATGTAAGCCTCTCGTTTGGCACAACCTCGGGTGGCACCTCCTGGCTTGGTTGTATTCCTCTTTTTGTTACGGCCGCTCTTGCCAGCAGCATCCTGGATGACGTTGGCTTGGGTGTTGGCAGCGTTAACTTCTCTGATGTTCGTTATTCCCTTAGTTTCAACCTTTGCTCTGATACCACGTTGTCACGTCCTTAGTTGTTAACTAAGTACACGTGCGGCACTTGACAACTCGCTCACGATCTTGGTATGTCAAGTCAGTCTTACTACACTCAATATCGCTAAGAGAATAGAAGAAAGAACACAAGAGAATTGTTAAAGGAAGCTTTGTATTAGAGAGAACTTGAATTGTTTGCTTGGTACGAATTACAAATGAATGCTCCCTATTTATACTAATTACCTAGGGGCTAGTATGTAAATAATAATTGTTCTACAAGTCCTTCCATATTTACAACTAAGTCCCTTCTCTAAAATATTCTACACATCTAGATTCTTCTAAGGACTTTCCTAACAATTCTATAGGGTTCTAGGGTCTTCCTAAGGAAACCTCTATATTTATCTAGAACCTTCCTACAAATGCATAAATATCTAGAGCTTTTCTAAGGAAAATTCTATATAGTTCTAGAATATTCCACCAAAATCTTTTCCCTAACTTATGTAACCCTTCCATATGGCAAAAATATATGTCAAGTAGCACCTACCTGGCATGATGATGTGGCGGGTGATGACATCAAGCTCTTAACAGCCACTTGTTCTGATTTCGACTATTGCGTCGATTTTTCAATCAAACACTACAGGTAGCTTTCATTAATAGGAACATCCTCATTTTTTTTCTTTGTATTTCTCAGTTTTCTCAAATGTGTAGGACTATTTAAAATCGTATACGCTTTGATAAAAATGTTTTACCGTCTAGTCTAGAAATAAACATTAATAGACTTGCAGAGACTTCCATCTTTTTCCTGAAAATATCAAGAGAAGATATAATGTCCACGGGATAAAATCAGCAGTTCAAATCATAAATATAATTAAAGAAACAGAAATCAATTTATTTATTTGTCATCTTTGAGATGTTTGTATTTATGATGTGGGCTTTGATTAAATTTGAATAGTTACGAACTTTGACCTACTTAATTATATTGTCCAGACTCTAATTAGCTAGGTTGAGCTTGTTGTCCAATTATGCATTGTTGTTATTTATTACTACTCCATAACAAGTGCATTAATTGTACTTCACGCTGTCACGAAAGATATATCTCACCAAAATATGACATGATATTTTTCTAATACCCCAATATGAAAGATAACAAGTAAACAACTTAAAATCCATGTTCAGTTGCATTTTCTTTAAATATCATTTTCATCTAACATGAATTGTGACAATTTCTATTAGTAACATAATTTGATACGTTACACTTGTATGTAATATTCAAGGATAGTCACACTAGGGAAAGCTTTCTGATTTTTTGGCTTTCTCCCAAAACATACTTTTATCTTAATATGACTAATGGTTGTACTGGCAGTCAAGTCCCAAATAATCATTTAGTAATATGATTTCATAGAATTAGTCATATGTGTTATAAAATATAATTCAAAGTAGCAATATGAAACAAGGAAATAAAAACAATTTAGTAAAACATGAATAAGAAATGGAGATAGAGAGAAGGAAGAGATTTTTTTTCTTTAATTGTGTGTATTTTTCTATCTATTACAAGGCCTTTATATAGGCATAAAAAGTGAAGAAAATATGTCATGGAATATGTCATTGAACATAGAAAATATGTCATTGAATATGTCATTAAGCATTTGACATGAAGATCATGGAGGAAGAGTAGACATCCACCATAATATGATATTTATCATAACACTCCCCCTTGGATGTCCATAAATAATGTGCCTCGTTAAAACCTTATTAGGAAAAAACCCTATGGGAAAAAAAATCCTAATGAAGGAAAAAGAGTACACATATTTAGAAATACGCCTTTTGGTTGCCTCGTTAAAAACCTTGCAAGGAAAACCCGGTGGGACAAAACCTTGTAAGAGAAAAAGAGTACACCGCGTATTAACTCCCCCTGATGAGAGCATCAGTTCACATCCTTCAGTCTTCGCATCCCAATCTTGTACACCAGTTTCTTGAAGGTTGACGTCAGTAGAGATTTGGTGAACAAATCAACCATATTATCACTTGAACGAATCTGTTGCGCATTGATATCACCATTCTTTTGAAGATCATGGGTGAAAAATAACTTTGGTAAAATGTACTTTGTCTTATTTCCTTTTATGAATCATTCCTTCAATTGGGCTATGCATGCTGCATTGTCTTCATACAAAATTATGGGTAGTTTGTCAAACTTCAAACCACATTTGTCTCGGATAAGATATATTATAGACCTCAACCAAATACATTCTCGACTTGCTTCATGAATAGAAATTATCTCAGCATGATTAGAAGAAGTAGCCACGATTGATTGCTTAGTCGATCGCCAAGATATGACAGTGCCTCTACATGTAAACACATA